ATATTCTAAACAGTGTTATTTCCTCAAAACATTATGCTGAAAAGAGGAACATGCGGTAGACACACCTTGAACATTTCATGACTGGCTGATACAGCATAGCTTGTAAAAATCTGATGATCCTTCAAAGAATAGTCATTGATCCTAGAGTGCTTTATCTCTGAGCCACATCCCCTGCCCTTTTAGATGTTTTTTTTGTTTGTTTTTTTTCTGAGACATGGTCTCACTAAGTTGCTGAGACTTTCCTCAAACTTGTGATTCTCCTGCCTCAGCCTCCTGAGTTGCTGAGATTACAGGCATGTGCCACAGCACCTAGGGAGCTTTCTATTATTTTTCTTTTTTTTAGATTGTTATCGGAGGCAGGATAATTACCCATTTGCAGCACAGAAATATAACTAATCAACCCAATGAAAGGACTGTCAGCAAGTTGCTAGCTCTGTGCCCACACTTCTTGTATCATCTGGCATCACCTTCATTTGGGATTAATTGGCACTGTATGAGACCAAGAAAAAAAACAGCTGTACATCCAGACCCAGAAGAAAAGACCCAAATATTACACTGCAGGATATTCTAAGTAGCATTTGTTTATTGCAGTAGATAGTTTGATACACAACCTCACCTTCTGGGAGGGCTACCAGGACAAAGTCCTCAGGTAACAGCACTCTCTGGGGCATCAGGCCAAATAAATTGACTTTGCTCAAGTTTGAAACCTCTTCCCAGGGCAGTGAGGACACTATGACTTAACAATGTATGAATAAAAAGGTTGAGAACCCTGATACCAACTGGGGACGACTCTGAAGGGTCATCCCCTGAACCCTTCATAGGAATGAACCAAATCCCCGCTTAACTTCTCCAACTGCCCAACCTTCTGTAGATTCCTTTCTATACATATTGATCCTAAGAGCACTGCCAAACAAATCTCCTCCCTGTTAGAGTCGACTTTCTGGAAAACCCATGACAATTAATCACCAAAGTTCTCCTTGAACAATTGCCTTTATGAAGAACTAAGAACCAAAATAATAGCACTAAAATCCAGGACACTAGAACTAGGTTGTGATGCAGGGTGCAGGACTGACCAAACATTAACCTTAAATTCTCATTGTCTGAACAATGTATTCTCTGAGATGACCCCGCCCTCTTCTCCCTATGGGAGGTATTGGATCACCTCTGCAAGTGTGTGTGTGCTTTGTAACCCAGAGCTCCAAACTCTCCAGGGATTGAGCAGCAGGTAAATCTAGACAAATCCTACAAAGAGGTCAAATTCCAAACCAGATGGCCAAGCACCAATGTGTTCTGATTATCCACCCTGACAAGGGAGGGTCCTACAAAAGGCAAGATGGTAAAGAGAGCAAGTTCTCGACAGTGAAACATGGGCTCTGCCTCCCCTGCAGGCTGCCACATGTCCAGTAGACACCTTGTCCTCCCCAGATGGGAGGAAAGAGGAGCATGGCTTTTCTTCTCTCTTTGCTGCTGACTTGGGTAGCTCTCCCTTTCTCCTCTAAAATTTCTCTTGAGCCTTTGTTGCTAGCAATTGGAAACCTGTACAAGGCTCTCCTCCGTGCAACATTGGTGAAAAGACAGAAACTCTGCTTAGTACCAGAGATGGATTTTTCAAGGTATCAGAAGGATTTATGCCCACTGGGAGATGGAAACAACCCCTGTGCTGAAGAGAGATCTCCCGGAGAGCCAGCAGAGGGTGGGCCATGGCATCTGAATGTTGCCACAGTCAGAGGGGGAGGCCTGGAGTTAGAAGTTGCTAGCAGCTGGCCAGAACTGACTATCCACTATGGGACAAGAACAGAATCATCTGCAGTAGCCCTGACGACTTCTCTAGTGTGGCCAAGACAACATGCTAAAGGGGCAGGTTGGAGGCATTCACATCCCAGCTGAAGAAGCTGCATCTGACCAGCCTCCTTGGGACCACTGACCTCCCACTGGCATGAAGATCTGTACCCTTCTAAGAATTCCAGGATGTGGCCAGGCAGAGCTCCCAGAAAAAACTGCACCCCAATTCAGACTCCGGACTCCAGAACCGTCTGAGGTATAATCAAAGGGGTTTCTCTTGCCTTATAAAAGGGGTGAATAATAAAGAGATCCAACTGCTACTCTGGATGATGAGGGGAAAATATGTTTTTCTCCTCTCTGATTCTGGTCTCATTCATTTCCCCTTCACCTTTTAGCAGCTATTCCTTAACTGGAAACACAAGGGATTGTGGAATTCATTGTGGACCTTAATATGCAATAAGGGAAGGTCCAAATGGGCCTTACCGTGCCTCACCAAAGGACATCTGCTATTTCTAATAAGAATAGGTTACTTTCCTGTGTAGCTTTACCTTTCAAATCACATTCATGCACATTAATTCAGAAGACCCATATCCACCTTAGTGAGATTGGCAATGAACATATTATGTGATATCACATTTTCAGAAAGAAAAATTGGAACATGGGGTCAAATAAAGACATTTTTTTCTTTCCTGATTTATGGGGGGGGGGAAAAAGTCTTATAAAGGCAGAGAAGTTGAATCACAGCTACTTATTCATGTATTGGATTATCTTTTAAAAAGTGGGATTACACAAAGCTTGCACAGAAATTCCTAGAAATATGGCCAGCATAATTATGGGGCAGGAAGTAAGCCTTGAATCCTACTTTAAAACTCCCTTTGATAAAAGCTTAAAGAGAGAGATTAGGTGCTCAAAGACTGAGATGAGAAGAGGGTTAGAAAAAGGGAGTTGGAGCTGAGAGAAAGTGAATGAGAGTCAAGAACACATAGATCCGTGCTCAGGATTCCCCACGTAATCTGTAGATGCAAACGTGACTATAAAAATTGTACCCACTATGCTCTGCATGATGTGGCCACCTAGGACAATTTGTCATTCCTGAAACGATGTGTCCTTACTTCTCTTCCGAAATGTCAGCAGTGTACATACACTCTCTCTCCTGAGAAATGGGAAACCTTTTCAATAAATAACATCCTTTCAGTAGACATGGTTTTTTCCCAGTTTTTTTTTTCACATAAAAACAATTCAAAGGGGAAAGAAAGATCTGTTTTTTTTTCCTCATGGATGCTAGAACGAACAACTGACTGTCTACATATTTTTTTAAAAAAATACTTTTGCCAGGTACTCTGGTACACGCCTGTAATCTTTACCACTCCGGAAGCTGAGGCAGGAGGATTGCGAGTTCAAAGCCAGCCTCAGCAAAAAAGCAAGGCTCTAAGCAATTCAGTGAGACCCTGTCTCCAAATTAAGTATAAAATAGAGCCGGGAATATGGCTCAGTGGTCGAGTGCCTCTGAGTGTTCAATCCCTGGTAACCCAATCCCACAAAAGTATTGACAGTGACCTGACACACCTTACACAGAAAAAAAAAAAAAGATGAGATGAATCATAATCCAAAGCATAAATGTTAAATCTATAAAGATTCTAGAACAAAATATAGGAGGAGATCTTCATCATTTTGGCAAAAGTTTTCTTACACAGAACACTGAGAACATTCATCAAGAAAAAATAAATAGTTAATTGGACCTTATTGAAATGAAAAACTTTCACTCATTAAAATATTCCATTAAGGATGGAATATCTAAGCCATTTAATGAATATCTAAGCCATTTAAGGAAAAAATATTCACATTACATATTCTGATAAAGGACTTGCCTCCATAATATACAAATAAACCTCACCATTCAATAATAATGATGATGATACCAATGGCCTCAATTAAAAATAGACAAAGGACTTTCTCTTTTCTTTTTACACCTGACAGAAGAGTGTATTTTGACATATTATACATACATACAGCATAACTTATTCAAATTAGGATCTCATTCTTGTGGTTGTACATGATGTGGAGTTACACTGGTAGTACATTCATATATGAATATAAGAAAGTTATGTCCGATTCATTCTACTGTTTTTCCTAATCCCCCCCGACAGCATTCTATTCATTCTCCTTTGTCTAAACCAATGAACTTCTCAATAGACATATGTTTATCAGAGGTCCAAAGGTGCTAGGTATTTGGCAAAGGCTATCTGTGAATAGGCCATAGTTTAAGAAATAGAACTACCGATTACTTGTGGCACTAGAATTCCAGGGGTGATTGAACTAATGTACTTTGAACAGCATGAGAAATATCTGATCTGAGAATTGTCCAATGTCCATATTTTCCTACCTACCAGATGTGTATCACTACCATTTATTGGGGATAGGTGCTATTCCATTGTGTCAATTTTCCTGCCTAATTAAGAAGGCACACAAGTTTGATCTATGCTGATTCTGAATGTTGCCAAACTATGCCATTAATTTTATACTGTGATAATGTGTCACCAGGAGGCTAAGTAGCTTTTCCTCTCTGGGTTAGTTACTTTTCATAAAAATCACTGAACCTTAAAAAATAGAAGGGTCTCAAGAGACTAGCCACCCTGCTCTCATAAAGCACAAAAAAAAAAAAAAAAAAAAAAAACACTTTCCCAAAGTCTGAACAACAACTGGTCATGCAAACAGGGGGTTAGAATTTCATCTGCTCCCTTTGATTGCACCGAAGTGATCCACATTAGCACAAATACTGCAGTACATGACACTCTGGGAAATGATAATCCACGGGGCGCATTTCTGGGGCACTAAAGTGCTTCTCGAAACCCTGGTAAGCTCCCATGCCACCTCTATGTGGGACATGCTCATAAAGCAGATGTTTCCTAGTTTTAATTTTTGTTAACTCTCTGATGGATTAAGCTAAATATCTCGGAGCTTTATTCATTATTGCTGCAGTAGGTAATTTGTGCCCGTGGTAATAGTAATTTAGAGTTATTAATGAAAATGAAGGCTAATTAAAAAAAAAAAAGCAAACATCTAAACTCAAGCTAAGGTAAAAATACAGAGCACTCCCAGATGAATTTTATCCAAGTTTCCTTTTTTTCATTCTAAAGGACAAATATTACTTTGGTTGCAAAAGGAAGGAAAAGGGGCATTGTCACACACAGTCACGCATTGTACATCGGTCGACATACCTGCAGTCCTTCAATGGCCAGTTTGAGGATTGAAGGTGTCAGTTTGGAGGCTTGTTTGAAGGAAAAATTACTCCAGTCTATGATTAAAATGAAACCATTTATCTGAAGCTCCGGATCTTCAATAAGGACTTCCAATGATAGCAGGATGGCACGGAGGATGTCTGTAAAGGAGTTCCTGTAACCAGGGCAGAAAGGAGAGCCAAGTGTGAGGATAAACAGGCAATAGACATACAGTACGTCACACGCAAACCACATTGGCATCCTCATACCACTGCTGCATGAGCCCAGCCTGCAAGTCACACTGTTTCCTGTCCCAGAACAGCTGAAAATACATCTGCTGAACTTTCCAGAAGTGATGCTTTGAGGCTCTGGGGAAGGATGTTTACCCTTGATATGACCCCATGAGCACCCCAAACTTAATGAGGTGACACCCTTGTGCATTCCCATGGCTCTTTGTACTGTGCTCCCATTACAGCACTGATTTCACTTTGGTGAAATGCACCCCTTACTTGTTGCTCTCCCTTTCAGAGCCCCTGTATTTTTAAGGGCAGGGAGGGGCCCTAATCCAAGCTGTGTCTACAGTACCTAGGCACTCAGTGAATCGTTGCTGCACAGATAAGATGAGGCCTCAATCTTATTTTGCTTATTTTGATTAAACATCTTTTATTCCTCTGCTATGTTTAAAATCTTGCTAAGAGTGTAAAAACATCCGTGCAATTGATGCTATTTTTTTAGCTTCAATTCATGGAAAGAAAAAATAAAATAAAGCAGGAAGAATAGCTTATTTTCATTGAAGGTCTACAGAGTGTGATTCGGGAGGGAAATTGCTTTGAGTACATCAGTAACTATGACAACAGGCAGACCTGAATACAAACTAGAGTGACAGTTCTCCAGGGCCCTGTGTATTTCTGCATCTCACATATCCCCAATCACCAGGTGATTTTTGTTTAAAATAATTTTCAGATGTGAAGAAATGATGGCATATTTACTCTGTTTCATCCTGTGAATTATCTGATTTACGAATCTAAGATCTCAGAAAATCTCTAAATTCAGTCTGTCTTTGATGAGTAGGAAAACATAAGGTGGGATGGTGAGTGATGCCAAAATCTTCAGCTCCCTTCTGGCTTTCACTAAAATCAGAAGCCTATGTTCACGGAATCATCAGATTCCCAATAATTCCAATCTGGTTTTGAATTCCAGCTAAGCCTAATGTCTCCCAATTAGAAATCAGGAATTCTGTGCTTAGACAATAAGTGAGTAAGAATTTTTCTGAATTGCTGTTATGAACCCAGTGTTGTGTTACATGCTTGAAGTAGTGTGTCCTGTTTGTACTTTCAAAGAGCCTTAATTTAGTTGTGGGTGGTGGAGATTAGCAACAGGAATTGAGAGGGATCGAGAACATTGGAATAGCTAAGGAAAAGGTTAGAGACAAGTCTTGAAGAGCAGATAGGATTTTGGTGGATTAGTGGGAGAATGAGGAATAGGACTTTATAGAGAAGAGTGACACAAATAGAAAATAAAGATATTTACAACCCATTCTCTTCCTGTTCTTCTTACTTAATCCTCCCCTCTTATATTGAGCTGAAATTTTCCTCCCACAAATCCACCACCCCCTGGAGTTAGTTCTGCTCTGTGGAATAAACTTCAGATCTTCCCACACCACACACTTGACTGTTCATAGGGAGGTCATGACAACCCATATGAGCTCCGGATTTTTTTTAAAAAATTAACTTTCTCAAATGGCTCTTAATAGCTCTTCTTATCATTGTTTTCTTTCAGATGTGTTCCCTTTTCATTTTTAGAGATGTCCTATTCTTATTAACATAGGGAAAATTTTTTACTGGGGCCTTGTTTGCTTTTGCTTTTGCATTTATTTCTACATCATTAACTAATGACCCAATCTTCTTCAGAGGATGCACTTAAAAAAACAAAATTCTTTTTTTGAGTACTGGGGATTGAACCCAGGGCCACTTAACCACCAGGATTTCCCTAAAATGAATAGCAATAGCTCCACCCCTTTATTGTTGTTGTTATTATTTGTTTGTTTGTTTATTTATTCATTTTGAGACAGTCTCACTAAGTTGCTTAGGGCTTTGCTAGATTGATGACCTTGAACTTGTGATCCTCTTACCTCAGCATCCCTCCTTACTGGGATTAAAGGCATTCACCACCATTGCCCCACAGAGATACAATTCTATATTGGAAAGAAAACATTGATTTACATGGCAAATGGAACCAAAGACTATGAGTTTAGGTGAATTTAGATGGTAATATGGAAATGCTCAATTGTAAACTGGAATGACCACTGGGGCATCAAGAAATCTGAGCCTGGATAAGCTTTCTTAGGAAGAACACATATATAAAGGAAGACTGAGCCTTAGGTAAACTTTACATACAGTACTGAGGTTGAAGGAAGAAGAATTAAAGAAATAATAAAATACGAGAGGATCAAAACAGTACTGAATTAAAAAAGAAAGTAAGAAGAGAATGCTTCAAGAAACAAGAATATGAAGTCAGATGCAGTGGCATGTTCCTGGAATCCCAATTACATGGGATGCTGAGGAAGGAGGATCATGGATTCAAGATCAAGATCAGTCTAGGCAGCACAGCAAAACCCTGAATCAAAAAAAAAAAAAAAAAAAACCCAGCAAAAATATGCATCACTGGCCTCAATTCATGACTTACCCTGAATCCATGCATTAGCTATGATCTCACTGAGGACACAGCCCCTTGTCCATGTGACTTGTTTTGGCTAAGGACATGTAGACAGACATGAAAGGATGCCAGTACTGAGCCTCACTTGTAAGGGACCTCAGACGTCACCTCTTGTTCTCTTGCCTTTTTGCCAACACTTAAGGCAATAGCATGCCACAGCTATCATTCTAGATTTAAGAGAAGGATGCAAGACAGAGTAGTGACCACTAGCCAATTAGTCAATCTTCACAAAATGCAGAACCGTCTATCTGAACCCAGCCTAGCTAAACTCCAGCTGCCTCACAGATAACAAAAGCAATAATAAGTGATGGCTGTTTAAACCACTGAGTTGTGGGATGGTTTGCTACACAGCAATAGCTGTCCAATACTGGAAGGTAGTTAACAAATGCAAATATCACCAAAAAAAATCAAGGAAAATGAGGAAGAAAAAAAGACTTGTTTGACAACAAGGATATTTTTGAGGAGTTTTAAGAGAATGCTTTCTTGAATAGTAAAAATAGAAATCACTAGTTATGAAGATCTTTAGCAAATCACTCTGTAACTCATTTTATTCCTCTAAATAAGAGAGAATTTTTCTTTCCACCGTGTGTCCACTGATATCTATTTCCAAATTTCTAGTCCAGAGTTACAAATGCCCCAACATACTGTTTTTACCAATCCCAAAGAAAAATCTTGGAGGACTCAACAGAGAGGTTCTACATATTTTATTACTTACTCCTTGATGGTGGTAATGGGCCAGGATATAATGGAGAGCCACCGTGTGTCTGCAAGGTGGGAGGTGGTGGATTATATACAGGATAGGTTGAATGACAAGCTGCACAGGTGGATTTCTTTAAATGTTACTGAATACATTCTTTTACTTTGCAACCAAACTCATCCTGCTTTGATTCTCACCTAAAAATTGGAGATAAGGAAACTGGAAGTTTCCCTATCTCCATTTCTTCATTATCACATTCCTTAGAGTCTTTATCTTGTTGCAAACTTTCCTAGGCACTGACTAGTGTTTAATCCAACACTAAGAAAAGAAACTGAATTCTGTCTGCAGTCCTGGAAATGATTCTATGCATTTTGGAGACCAAGATACAGAATAGGGATTGGCAGTGAAGGAAGTATTGTATTCATGAGATGAGTGTAGAATAAAAGATTGTAGACTCATTATAATTGCCAAATGTTCAAATAATTCACTTTTGCAGTGAAACCGGATGGCAGGAAAGAGTTGGACTGTATCTCTAGTCACGAGACTACCCTGCTGAGGAGTTCGACTTTATGTTTTTCCTCAACTACAATTATTATCTTGGTTTCCTTAGTTCTTGACTTCCACATATAAATTTTCTTTTTTCCTCTTTTCTATAGCATCTTGACTTGTGCAATACTATTAGCTTTTTTAAAAATTAAAATACCTATTGGGTTAAATATTCATGTGGATAAACCACCCTCGAGGACATGGAACATAGCTCCCAGATCCTTAAGAATGAACACAGTGACTTCCTTCCAAAGAGTACAGTAAAAATTGGGGGAAGGTTGGGGGAAGGAGTAACAGTACAGTGGAGAGACCTGATGAACACTATCAGAGCTGGGTGATCAAGGTCATGTCACCAATGACAAATCACATTCATTTTCCTGGCTACAGTGATGAAAATGGCAATTACCTGGGAACTTCCTGCCTCCAAACCATAATTCCAGATTAATCACGAGGAAAGTATTGGAGGAATTCCGATTGAGAAATGTTCTACAAAGTACCTGACCAACACTCCTCAAAATTGCCAATTTTATCAAAAAACAAGGAAATTCTAGAAATTGTTATAGCCAAGAGGAATACAGGGCAATGTGATGAGGAAGGTAATGTGCTCTCGTAGATGAAGTCCTGAGCGGGGGAAAGGCATTAGGTAAAAACTAGAGAAATATTGGAGAATGGACTTCAGTGAACAGCAATGTATGAGCATTGATTCATTAATCATAACAAATATTCTATATTAATGTAAGATGAATAACAAGAGAAAGTTAGATGCAGACTATAAAGTAACTATGCTATCTTCACAATACCTCTGCAAATCTAAAATTGTGAACAAAAAGTTAATTTTTGAAAATTAAGAAAACAGGCCTATTAGAGTTTGTAACCTGTCATCTCCATGTTATAACCAGGTTTCCAGCAAAACCAAAATGGTAATAAGTAGTTCAGCCACTTCATGCAAATTGTGGAAATGAGAAAAGAAGACATTTTCAGAATTTCTTCATTCCATTAACTCATTTAGACTTACATGTTGTTTAACTCTAATAATCCAGGAAAATCTTTTAAATTTTCTTTATTGCCTGCAAACACAATTCTATCAGAGTATTTTAACCTTTATTTTAAAATGAGCTAATAAATGACAAATGGATACTAACATCTATTCCATAATCAGTTATGGAGGATATGAGCTTTATTTTATTTTTATTTGTGTATTTATTTATTTATTGTGC